AAAACGTATTAACCTTCTCCGGAAATTGAACGTTTTACATTGTGATGGATTTTTGGAAATGAGGATTGGACGACTACAGCCCGACCGTCCCACAAACACGAGCGACTGGGCCGACACAAGAGACGAGGTGGACCTCCCGTCGTCATTCTCGTGTAAAGCTCCGCAGGTTGAAAGAGTCCCTGCCGTTGTTCCCGGTACCTCTCTTACACAACGTTCGCACACGACGTCTGCCCCCGACCCTACTTGACAGTCTCGAGCGTTCTGACCGAGTTTGACGACCTCCACTCTATCTAATACTTCAGTCAACCCATTTCATTCTGTCTATTCAAATCTATATATATTTGTTTTTGCATATCTTCATAAACCTATTATCAATCTTAAGTTCTCTTTGAATCTACTCTTATGACTTCTCTCGTTAATTTATTTTGCTGTTTGTATAGTATCGCCACTTTTCATCGGAGTCTTGTGACATCACTGGGTCTCTATAGCTAAACAAAGCTAGAGAAAACAAAACTAAGGGAGTACCCCGACTTTCTACTTACTGCCGAACAACAACTCTTTTTTCCTTACAGTCTACGCTAACTTTTCATTTTATAACGAACTATAAGTTTTCACTAGCGTTTTTTAATTGTTTGAATTTAAAGGATTGTATTTGCGCCATGAACTTTCCATATGATTTGTCGCTCTTTATTCCTTGCGTTTGATATCTCAGTGTGCATGTGTCCCCTCTTCTTCATGTCTCTTCTCCATCAACATGTGTCCCCTCTTCTTCATGTCTCTTCTACATCAACATGTGTCCCCTCTTCTTCATGTCTCTTCTTCATCAACATGTGTCCCCTCTTCTTCATGTCTCTTCTACATCAACATGTGTCCTCTCTTCTTCATGTCTCTTCTTCATCAACATGTGTCCCCTCTTCTTCATGTCTCTTCTACATCAACATGTGTCCCCTCTTCTTCATGTCTCTTCTACATCAACATGTGTCCCCTCTTCTTCATGTCTCTTCTACATCAACATGTGTCCCCTCTTCTTCATGTCTCTTCTACATCAACATGTGTCCCCTCTTCTTCATGTCTCTTCTACATCAACATGTGTCCCCTCTTCTTCATGTCTCTTCTACATCAACATGTGTCCCCTCTTCTTCATGTCTCTTCTACATCACCATGTGTCCTCTCTTCTACATCAACGTGTGTCCCCTCTTCTTCATGTCTCTTCTACATCAACATGTGTCCCTTCTTCTTCATGTCTCTTCTACATCAACATGTGTCCCCTCTTCTCCATGTCTCTTCTACATCAACATGTGTCCCCTCCACAGAGGGGATTATGGGTAATGCTGCAATGATCTGTGGTGTTTCAGCCAATCAGAGACAGGCTCTGGATGTGTCCCTGTGATGTATTGATGAAGAATAGGGGACCTTTAACTAAAGTGATTTTGTTGCACCTCTGCAGGAGTATTGCTGCTCTGACGCTCATCTCCTTGGCGACGCTGATGAACTTTCCCAACCCGCTGAACGCGATGCAGATTCTGTGGATCAACATCATCATGGACGGCCCCCCCGCTCAGAGGTATAGGGCATCATGGGAAATGTAGTCATTGTTTCCAAAATAAAAGTGTGTGTGTGTGGATCTTTTAATCCCCCTGAGAAACGATTGTGATATCGGGCTGTGTAAATGATGTCATCGCCCAATTTGCATAAAGTCTCTCTCTCTCTCTCTCTCTCTCTCTCTCTCTCTCTCTCTGTGTGTGTGTGTGTGTGTGTCGACTATCACACTAAGCTGTCAGCTGCTGAGAAGCCTGACACTCAAAGCACAGGTGCTGATGAAGAAAGGACAGCAGTCTGAAGAGATAAAGCTTTCTTCTATACTATACTATACTATCTCTCTCTCTCTCTCTCTCTCTCTCTCTCTCTCTCTCTCTCTCTCTGTGTGTGTGTTCTCAGTCTGGGTGTGGAGCCCGTGGATCAGGATGTGATCCGGCAGCCCCCCCGTAATGTTCGGGACAGCATCCTGACTCGCTCCCTGCTCAGCAAAGTGCTGCTGTCGGCGTTCATCATCGTCTGTGGGACACTCTTCGTCTTCTGGAGGGAGGTGCGTCTCCTCTTCATCAACTTGGCTCTTTGGGGCTGTAGATATTGGTCAAAATGATTCATGGGAGAAGCACGCTGAGAATTAACAAAATAAAATCGCACTGACTACTTATTATATCTATATATATATCTATATATATAGAAAAAAATGAATCTAATTAATTAGAGGCTTTGTAATTAATTAATCGCATTTTTAATCCCATTTAAATATTTGACCTGAGAACAGTNCTCTCTCTCTCTCTCTCTCTCTCTCTCCTCTCTCTCTCCTCTCTCTCTCTCTCTCTCTCTCTCTCTCTCTCTCTCTCTCTCTCTCTCTCTCTCTCTCTCTCTCTTTCTCCCCCTCTTTTTCTCACAAACATACACCCACACGCAGAGCAACTATGGGCAAATGTTGGGTAATGCAAGAAGTTCTTGTTCCCACTTTTTGCACAATGTTATCACGTGTGAAAAGTCATTTCCATTATTGCATCAACATTTTGGACATTGAGTTCTCGAAAAGGGGGGGGGATTGTGTTTTTGGGTGAAAGGTCCAAGGTTTGCCAGTTGACGATTTCATCCTCATATATTATGGAGAGAAGAGAGCAACTCTTTAATCACTTCAACAGCTCAGCAATCAGCGAAAGCCTCTAGGTGACTGAGAATGGCTGACTTGATAATGATACCCTGTCTCTCTTCCTTTGTTTGTTTCTCCCCCTACAGATAAGTACAGTAGAACACAATGTTTCCTCCAACTCTTGCCCCCCCTCACCATCGTGACTCACATTTAGGTCACGGGTTTTTACGGGAAAGGGGCCGGCTGTTTGTTAAGAAACAGGCGGAGGAGAGTTGGAGGGAAAAACTAGTAAAGGAAACAAGCTAAGCACAAAGCTTTATCCAAACTGTTAAACCACGCATTTCCGCTGTGTGACTCAAAGGACAAACTCACCCGAATGGGTTTGAAGAAGTCCAAGTTGGACAGGAAGTGGCTCTGGGCCTGGTCAAGCCAATCGCTGGTGGAATTGCAGATACTTTCTTGAATCTGACGGGACACGTTGTGATCAGCAATGTGGACAAATTCCTCCAGGGACGTTGTGTTACAGAGGTCTCTGAGATGGAAGCCAAAACCTTTAGTCAGCACCTGGATGGGAAAAATAGGCAGAGTGGTTCAGAAAGAGTACAATATTATGATCACATGTGTTCTAGATACAATGAGAGAGTAGAGGTAGAGAGAAATGTATCAAAATATAAAATCCATCAAATATATTCAGTGTTTAGTTTTGGCACAAATGTTAATGTAACAACATAGTGGAGCAACAGACTGATCTCCATATGTGGAGTATCACTGTTTGTGATAAAACAAAGAGAACCCTTTGTGGTTTGCCCTGGCTTTTTAAAGATCGTTATGTATCGGACTAGTTGGATTCCTAAAACCTGACATTAAGAACAAAACAATGAAGCTCACAGAAAACTATCGCCAAGCAACGATGAGGGAACAAAATGTTGGGGCCTGCCAAGGACTTTATGGTGATAAAAGTTATCCAGATAAAACTGTACCACCAGCTATGTATCTGGTGATGATACCGTCTGTGTAATTTAAGAAAATGCTTATCCTTTATCTTGTTAATATGATTCAACCCATTATTTGGAAGAGGCAGTACAGCTTCACCTATGCAGGTGTAGTAACATAACATTATTTCCTTTGACATTGGAGCATTTAAGGACAGAGGCTCTGTTTTCTCTGAAGAAGACTCAAGATGTTCGGACGCTATGTCTTTGTGAGAGTGACTATGATATGTCAAGATGTCCTTGAATAGTCTGCTTTGTGCCAACTGTACACACACTACAGCTGGTCATATTTTCATTGGAAAAAACACAAGGGCTTAGAGCAGCAAGTTTGGACGAGTGGGAATCTCACACTTATTGTCTGAAAAGAACTCAAAACATTTCCCTTGGGGGATTTCCATCTTTGTGTGTTAGTCTCGTGCACTTAATTGATGTTTTGACAATTGACAAAATGACCTTCATTGGATATAACTAAAAGCATAGCATTAACTAGCTTTCCTCAATTTCCCCTCCTCTCCTTAAATAATGTTCCTAATGACCGTATAGACTAATGGAGAGTCATCTCCTTTGATCAATAGTTGCCCGGGAAAAAAAGTAGAAGAGTTTTTTTTTTTTAGCCTGTGTCTGTACGTGAGCAGAACTAGGGGGAAGGGAAGCTGGGAGAGCAGTGGTCATGTGACATGAGCCATCCAATTGCAAAGCAGGGATGATGTGGTGGGCTGGGAGCTGTTGTTATGGGGGCTCTATTGCAGGGGTTCACAAAGTGGGGGTCGCGAGATGATTACAAAAAAAAGGAAAACAAAAAAAAAGAAAAGTTGATTCATTGTTTTTATAATAAAAAAAAAAAAAATTATTATTAATTTCCCCGCAACGAGGCTCCCCCTTTGACAATCCACCAGCGCAGTGTTTTTGCGGAAAACTGAAATTAATTCACTAGCACCCCCCCCCNNCCCCCCGTCGACAACAGGGGGTCGCCAGTCTCTGGCACTGTTATTTTGGGGGTCGCGTGCTGAAAAGTTTGGGAACCCCTGCTCTATAGGAAGAAGAATCTGTCAATGTACGTTTCATCGATTTCAATGGGAGAGCTTTGTGGGGGATACACTAGAAAAAATAATAAATGTTCAGTCTTCAAAAGGAAAATCAGAAAGAGAATATGATTTCCTTTTTTGTGGGAGAATAAATGTTAGGAAAAGACAGAAAAATATGGGGGCTTTTGGTTACCAACTACAAACTACCCCTCTCCCACAGTGATTATTCTGGAGGGCATTAAGGGCTTAGCTGTGCAGTAGTACAGTATCCTGTTGTCAAGCCAAGGTTATTGGATGTATGCATGTACTACGTCCAGGACAGTATGATCAGCTTATGTGAAAAGAACTAAACAAAATAGCTGCACACAAAACATACTGCACTTTTGACCGCTATGGGCAATATGGGAATCATTAGTGAAATGGAAAAATCATAATTTACTGAAGGAGGTTTTATTATTCAACTTTTCAATGGTATATATTCTACCTTCTCCAGGTTGACGTCAGCCTCCACTATCTGCTTCAGCGCGTAACGAGGAAGGGAGGCGTTGTTGTGAAGGAAGTGGGAAAGGGTCTCATTGTCTTGCAAAAAGTCCTTCAGCTTGAAACCTAGAAAAGAAACACAAAAATAGGGTTAATTTGGTTGCTATTAAAACCAGGATTCACAGCAGTGTTGGCAGAGAGATGTACAATAACATTAAATCAAATGTGTATAAATAATAATATAAGGGTCGATGTTATAAGCTAAGGCTCAGCCTATAGACGTTTGGTCATGAGAGACGTACTATTGTTAAGATGGAATAAACCAAAAAAAGAAAATACTGTTTATTATGCTTCTTAAATTGTTTATATTTCAGACATTGTTTAAACAGTGGAAACCCCAGTGCAAGAGGTCCATGCCATACAAACTGAGAACATACAAAAACACACCAATGAATAGAACTCAAAATGACTCCAAATCTAATTATACATATGAATGGTGTTCATTTCACAAGCAAAGAAACACACTGTCCTCTCTGGACTTTGAGAGCGTTTTGTACTTTTGCTGCATTCCAAAGAAGTCAAACCATTTCTCAAACTGGCCTGAGTCAGCTGTGTGGTTGAGAACACACTCACAGGCACAAACACACACTTCCATTTTATACTCAGCTATGAATTGTATGCAGCGGCGTACAATTTATTCCTTTATTACTTTAGGGCGCTCTACTTTGGTCCACATTCTGCCTACCAATTTTCCTGTTCCTCTCTAGCTCTCTTCCTCAAAGTCTCTGTGGTCACCTTTCACCCACTTTGTTTGAGTCTTTACCAATTCCTCTGCAAACACTCACTAGTTGTCATTGTTGTCATTGTTGTTGTTGATGTTAGGTGACAGCATTTAAAAGAGATCATGCAAGGAAAACAGGAAAAAGTCCTGCAGCCCCCGGCTCTTATTTTGGTTATTACCAGCGCTGTCTCTAAAGTGTTGTGTAACTGATAAACTAGGCATGGCTTAATGCATAAAACTAAGAATGATATTATCCTATTGGGGTTTGATACATTTTGGCAAATCATTTATGATGACTTCTCTCCACTAGTCTGTTCAAATTACTACTTGAACTACAACATTTGAATAATCAGTTCTTCCTAATTTTCCTCAATTGTTCATATTTGGTTTATTAAAATTATTATATTGTGGTCATTGTTAAAAGAAAAAAGGAGGGTGACATTTCTGCTATGAGTATTATTATTTTTATAATGCGCTTTCTGCCATCCTGTCATTATCAGGAGTCAGAAATGTAATGGCTATGTAATAGATTAGATTCTTCATTATCCTAAACTTCTGGGACATTTCCCTATAGCAAATAAACTTTTATATTTTCTACTCTTCACTTACTTGTCACTAGGTCGGCATTGATGTACAGAGCCGACAAAAGACATGGAATATATTGGCATCATATCGAAGCCAACTCCATCGATCAAGCCAGTGTGGCTGAAACTTTCTCTCCCTCTTCTTCTCATACTCCCTGTCACTCTCCTTTAACTCCTCCGTTGACTTTCTTTTATTTGAAGATTGTTTTTTGCCAGGCGCTTGGCCGGACACAGCTGGTTTTAAAAACATTTTGGCGAATGGTTAGGTGCCGCGAAAGTCTGTAGTGAAGGAGCATGCTGAGCTCTACTTCGCAGCAAACAGCTGTTTGCTTTTCACCCAACAACGACAACCGCCTCATGCAACGCTATGTTGTAGCGTTAATAAACGAAACAATTTAAATTGCTTGTCAAAATACCAATACAACAGGACAATGTGATTTTATGTCTTACTCTTTTTTTTAAAGCGATAATTTTTTACACACACACACACACACACACACACACACACACACACACACACACACACACACACACACACACATTGCTTTGCCTGAACTTCCCCCGGGAGGAAGTGAGAGAGAACAGTCTGTTCCTGTGTGTACAGAGTGCACTTTTTGGAGGTCACGCTCTTTTTCTGCCTCCATATATGTGCACCAGAGAGTGTCTTATGTGATTTAAAGTGAGTGTGTGTTAATCAAACATCCCTACCATCCCTGCTCTCTGCTTTTTTAGTGTGTGTGTGTTATTGTGTACCTGTGCATCTAATTGCATGTGAGTGACCTCAACTCTCAGGGGTGAACAACACGGGAGTGCTAATAAGATCTAATCTGTGTCCCAGTTGGAAGTCATATCTCCCATGGTGCATTTCATTCAAAGGTCCTTGAGGACAGACCAGACTTGATAGAAAGCCTATTAAGTCATCAAAGGACCTTGTGTGTCTGTATTCAATCTATGTGTTTTATCTTATCTGTGAGTGTCAAATGTCTTTGCTTTGGTTTACCCCCCCCCCCCCCCCCATCAGGGGCAAAGACGTCTTTGGAAGTGTGACAACGTAAAAAGTAACAATCATTATTTGTGTTTGTTTTTCCTACGTTAGGACCTGCTGTAGAAGGGTGTGCATACAATTACCACCAACGCAAGTCTGTGCTTGCTCCTGCCGCTCCCTCGTTTATTTCATATTTAATAATATTAACAAAGCGCACTTAGTTTTGCTAACAAGCATTAAGGCGCATTCCTGAATGCCAGGGGATTTTTCTAATTTGAGCAAGAAAAGGTGGATGGATGAATGAAATTCTGACTGCTATGAAATTAATACACAAAAAAGCTGCGTAATAGGTGGAATGTAAATTACTATTTTGATGATGGAAAATAAATAACATGTTGGATAGTATCTGAGCATGTCTGACTTTGTTTGTGAGAGCCTATCAGAGATTTACACGTCCTAAAGGACATTTCTGTGAGGGGATTATATTTCTCACCTGCTCAAGGACATATTTTAAATGTGGGATATGGTTTTAACACGATTGGATAAACAAAGGGAAAGCTTAAAGTAAGGGTTGAGCTAGACATGCATGGGCTGATTTAAAGGCAAGGATTACAATCATTCAAGGCGGAACACTGTCCATTTGAAGAGATCAGGCTCAGACACATTGAGCCTTTAAATGAAATGGAGTCAGCAAGATAAAACATGAAGGAAATGAAAGCCTACAAATGCAAGGTTAGTATGCGAATCCAACTCAGGCTTCACTTTTGCTAGGAATGGTACACAGGTGAGAAAAAAAGCCTGATCAATCTACATGGTATGAAGAACACCTTTCTCGTCTCAAACATGTTGAATATCTGTTCAAACGTCTGTTGATTTTCTCTCTTTCATTGATCTGCCATGTCATTCTGTCTTCTCTCCTAAAGCAGGAATGCATCAGACAGAGCGTATGCTGTGTGATTTATCCTCCGGGAAAAAGCTCATCCCTCTCCCTGACCCTTCACAGCGCTCCTTCCCTATCAGTGAAAATCTCATTTGCTGACCCCCGCCGGTTGCTCAATTATTAACAGACACTTGGGTCTCCACACTCTTTGATCCCTTCTCTTAAAATCCCTCTGCAGTTGCATTCCCTCACGTGGATTAAAGGCACATGCACAGTGTCATATGCGATTGAGCATGAGGCAGTGCATTTAAAAATCTATCTTGGTGAAGTGCACAGATGTGCTGTTAAAATAAAAAAGAGCCAAACAAATCCAGTTAAAATGCATGACCTTTAGTTATTAGAAACAATGAAAATCTATCTGTAGATCCAATAAACCTAACATGCAAATGTAGAGATTTTCTACAATACATTTTTTTTGTAGAACTGAATTTCTTCTCATTTGTTCTGTAATCCCTGTCCTTTTTTCAGGCCATGCTCTGCTTTTTAGAGACTTTATATAACTTATTGTAAATCAGACTGTAGCCACAACAACAACAACCTCGATTGTTCTGTTTCGTTGCATAATTTTGGACGGTACACTCTGCTCTATATACCCTTACATTAGGGTCGGAGTGAAACCAGGCTAATACCCCCTTTATTCATAGCATCTAACTGTGTCTCAGAGAAATGTCGCAGTATCAAAGCTACACTACTGGAACAGACAAAAGGACCTCGTCCAATTACGGCCCGTCCACACAGCGGCATGCGTTGAAGCTTGCCAGCGGAAGGGGGGCTGAAACTCGACCAACAACCAATCTCCCGCCCCGGACACACAAGCATGCGGTTTGATTGTATATAATAATATATATATATAATAAGTACCCTGTATCAAGATTGATGCAAAACAAGTGATATTTTACCTTTTTAGACAGATTTAGCAAAAAAAACCTCTTCTGGGGCCATTTGTGTGGATTTTCCTTATCTCTGGCCCCCCTTCTTCGATTTTGACATGGGACATCTCTTTCTGACCGTTAGAGCCAATAGAATCGAAGGGAAATCCTCCAGCACACACTCATGTTAAAAAAAAAAGGTTGCGTCTTCGCGCATTCAATCTCGCTACAGAGCGTAGGAATGGCCTGCTCTACTATTTTAAAACGGAATTGCAGTTTTATTGCTTATAGATTATCAGAACATTTCAAAGGGGACACAGCCACATTGGATACTAACCTATGGATTAACTACATCATCGTTGTTATCGTTTTAATGCCATTGAAGACCAGTTTTGACCAGACAAAACCAAGGTAAGCCATTTTAGCGTTGTAGGCTACGTAGCGCTACATGTTTTGATGTACGTTTTTGTTGATAACGTTGCGAGTTTGTATCAGTGTTGAGGTGGGCACCGTTAGATTCTGTGTCTTTACGATCATAAACAATGTGTTGGATGTGCAGCTAGGATAAGTAATAAGGGAGCTAGGAGTGATTTTCGGTGCAGTAATAGGTTAGCATTTTTCGCTCTGGGCTAATTCAGAGGCTCACTGTTAGAATTGTGTGTTTTTTTTGAAAAAATAAATGAAAAAGATCAGTTAAGTGAGTTTTTCCCCGTTATATGGTATAAAATATTCATAGTTTATTAAATATTAAGGTTCCTTAGACGTTGTTTCCTGCAAATGACGCGATTTCGGCCCCGGAACCGGGTCCGTGGGGCTTAAGAATGTTAATGTTTTCCATTTCCTTTTTTTCCTGCTTGTCTTTGCACACAAGGTTGAATGTTAAAACAAGCTAGATTGCTTTTATCATGCCTCCCATGTCAGAGTAATGGGTACTGAATTAAAACGTTTTTTTACACGGAGCAAAGATAAAGTGCATTGTATGACTTTTATTCAAGTGAGGATTTAAAACACTTTGCCATTTGCAGGTTACTTCGACTCAGCACAGTGAAGTCATAAACAAGATGTTATTTTAGAAAGATATCCTTTTTTAATCTCAGAGCTGCCATGGTCATGGTAAAACAAACTTGCGAACCTTAGCATTAAAATGTAAGATTACGATTACATTTTCAGGTTTAAACTGAGAGCAGAGATAGCTAAATGTCATGACAGGAAGCAGAGACATTCCAGTCAGAACAACTTGACATGTTCTACCAGATCTGGGCAGTGATTTTATAACGATTGTCAGGGTGGTGCAATTTCCTGTCTAGTGCCACCACTCTGCTCACTCATTAAAAGAGAAGTTACACCCACTGGCTTTAAGGAGAGGGGCCTCAGCGTCTGGCAGGCAGTGATAAGGATGTTCCTTAGAGGACTTCAATCAGCTGTTGCACTGTGAGGGGAACTTGAGCAGTAACTTCATTTAGTTTTAACATCATCAATGTGTGAAGGAACTATAGGTGTGAGTCACTGACTCCGATCATGACTGGATGTGAGGTCATGTAGGAGCTCTCATTTGAATGATGATACAGGCAGCAGAAATGACTGATTGTGAATGGGTGGGTGACTTGGTAATCAATGAGGTCGTCATTCAATAACTGTGACAAATAAATAAAACAAAAGGTATGTACTTACGAGCAGTGTTCTCCTGCATCTTTCTGAGAGCCCTTAGTAGTCCTGTGTAGCCATCGTAGCTTTTATCCTTCTGACTGTAGAGTAGGATTTTCTGGGCATCAGTGAACAAGCGGGAGATTCTGGGGATGTTACAGAACGAGACAAAATCAGACACATCTTCATCTCGAGAATTCAAAGCCTGAGTATTTATTTTAAAGGCACATTATACATTCATATGTTAAATGTTATATTTTCATATGTCATATTATTAAAAGATAGAATAATATAGATACAAAATGATACAAAAATGCACTGCGTGAATATTTTGGATTATTCAAAGTATTGCACTGCCTGAGCTATAAATCAGCCACAGGGCCACGGTACTCACATAGAATCATTGAAGTTTCCCACCACCCCGGGACTCTCGCCTGGGGTGGGATTACGGAAGCAGGGGTTGTTGGCGTTACAGATGATGCCTTGTACCCACGGCAACGTACCCGCCGAAGGCATGGCCTTGTTAGGGAAATGGCCTGGAAAGGAAAGGAAAATAATTCAATTTATATGATGTGTTTTTGAAATGTGGATCACTGGAGAAAACTGATAACCAGTAGGATATTTTTCATCCTTGCCAATCAAGTGTCCCATTCACTTATATGTTTCCACTACTCTCCAACATATAAAACTACCTGTACTACTAAATGTCCAACTCATTGAACTTAGGCTAACTATAAAGTGTCACTCATTGCCACTGCTTTTACAGCACTTACATTACCTTTACAATTGTTTGTACACTTATCAGCTAACTTAACTGCTACTGCTGCATTACTGAGGTTAACTAGCTATTATGTCGAAAAGATAAGTAGAGGATGAAAGGGGGTCAGGAGGCTTTAGTTCACTGGGTTAATGGGATTGGACACACTTGTAATACGCTGTCATTAGATATCGATGATTTTGTTCCAAATAAGGGAACTTGTTTAGTGGATACTAAAACGGGCACATGTAAACACTATCGATTAAGGAGCTACACTTCATTAATCCTAAAACAGTAATCTATAATTGTGTTACAAGCTTGAAACTGCATAACATGTTCTAAGATGTACAGAATGAAGGTGTCAAAGCCATCTCGGTAGTTTGTATGTTTTCCTTCCCCAAGTGAATAAAGCGACTTGGAAATGCTAAAAGGCCCTTTTTTGTTTGTGCTCTAGAGTCTAGACCATGATAATGTTTTGGAGTCAAACATGGTCAACGTTGTGAAACCAACTTTTCCAGGAGCTTAAGGTCATAAAGGTCCACACAGTGCAAACAATTCCGAACAATCCTACTATGACAATTACGCGGAAACCTTGATTGAGTAATATGTTGATCACTAAGATACAAATATTGGATGAATAAAGACAATGTCTTACAAAAACCTACACCATTGTTTTTGAAGTAATTTGAAAAATAACCAATCAACATGGGAAATCTGAATGTACCTGAGGTTTCATTCATCTTAATTCAACTATATATTTTAATACTGCAAAAAAAGCAATGAAGCTTAATTTTGTTATATATGTGAGTGAAATAAAAAATGAATGTGTATATCTCTCCCTGTCTTAATGTGTGCTTACATTCATGCTGCTCGTAGGGTGGATAATGAATTCGGACAGAGATCAGGATGAGGAAGATAAACAGAGGCCAGATGATCTCAATCAGCAGCTGGACCTAAGAAAAGAAGACAAAAGGATGATGATATGTGTTAATCACATTTTAAGCATTTTGGGAAACAAAAACTTGCCAAAACAAATGAGTTAATCATATTTTAGTATACTATCATCTACTGACAAGTTTTCATCACTTTTGGGGTGTTTCAGTTCAACTAAGGTCATTTCTGCTTCTTTAGAACATGATCAGTTTGTGAGTGTATCTCTGTGCCCTCTAAAATATCTGTATTTAAAGGTGGCTGTTGTCCTTTGTACACAGTAATCCATCCCACAATGAGTCTGGGGTGGTATATGGGTTAATAAGGGGTGACAGAGCGAGACAGAGGGAGGTCTGCAGGGTTTAAGGAACTATGTCCATCTGCTCCATATGGCCCCTCTACTTCAGCTGCCAGTGTCTCAGCTTGAAACAGCATGTCAGACAAGCAGCACAGGGATAAAGAATAAAGACTCTGACTTAGAGTACACACTGTATCCTTTTGTTGGAAATAAGTGGACTTATGTCCAGCCGCCATGGTCAGCTGGCTCAATTGTATGCAGATGAGCCTCCTCATGTATAAAGATCCACTGTGCTACTGCTTGGAAGTGAATTTGATTTACATAACTTTGAGTATGTGGGCACCAACCAGAACATGATGGTAACTGGACATACTGCATATGTCATCATTACATCATTAATGACTCACAGTGATCTGTAAACTGTGATGCTTTCAGAACGAGTGGCTGTGAAGTCCACTGAGACAAATGTTACATTTGTGATATTGGGCTATATAAATAAACATTGATTGATAGATAGATAGATAGATAGATAGATAGATAGATAGATAGATAGATACATTGATTGATTGATTGATTGATTGATTTATTGATTGATTGATTGATTGAGAGGATAATTACATCATTTGGACTGCGTAGTTATGAGGGAAGACATCTAGAAAGTATTTGTACTGCCCTTATGACTAGTCATGTGGTACTGGGAAAATCATCTACCAGTCAAGTGCATTGAAAATGTGAGTGGGACAAAGCACTCAGGGGACATTTCTCAAAAGAACTGATATCCCTCCATTTTGCTTTTTAGTCTTTTTTAAGGGACTGACCTAAAACTGTGCCTGATTGTATTATAAATAGAGCTAACTTCAAAGAAGACACAATGCAAGGCAAGCTAATGAGTCTGCCTGGCAGCATGATACTGTATGTGATACTGAGACCAGTATAACACAAAAAAATATACATAAAAAGCTTTATGTGTTTATCATAAATAAAATAAAATTCACAAAATAACAGCAAGGATTAGTGAACACCTCTGGTTTGGGAAATAATCATATGGAATGGAAAATATCTATATTTTTCAATTAATACAAATATGTCAGTAATTTAAAGCAGTTCTACTTACAGTCTGTCTCCGTCTGTAGGTGAAGTTTTTCCAAAGCAGTAAACCCAGTTGAGTGGAGACAGTCATGATGACGTCTTCCCAACCTCACTGAGCACGCTCCAGCTCCTCACTGGGACCCAAAAAGACAAAGAAAGAGGGTCAGACAATGCAAACGTTGACCAGACAAACAACAGACACTTTGCTTTCTGTTAAAAGGACACTAACTAAAACCTCAACAGCTGCTTTGTTCCTGCGGAAAAAGACATGGTTAACAAACAAAAAAAATGCATACATCCCACATTGACGCATGAAACCAATATGAATACAGAACAGAAAGTCCTGACATCAGCAATCCGTAACCTAGCGCATGCTTATACCAAACATAGCTGTGCCGACCTGTAAATCGTGCCACGATAAGAAAATAAATTCAGTCAGAAATAGATCTTCTATCAAAAATAAATACCATATCAGGAACACAACAGATATTACCTGGTTGCTTAATAATGTTAAAACTAAACTACAGCTGCCATCAGAAACAAAAAAGCCTTACTCAAAGACAAGAGCCTTTCTAATGGATTTACCTATAGAGCTAAACAGTTCTGACACGCAGACCAGCCAAAAGTACAGCAGCACTGAGCAAACCAAGTCGCCTGATGACTGAGGAACTACTGCAGCTTCACTACATGTAGACTCATCCGTCCAAAGGTCAGCCTCCAACTGACAGGATGAGTGTGTAGTGGGAAGTTTTTAAGTGGTCAAAGTTGTCGGACATTTTTTTAATCATCACCGTTTTTACCCCGTTAACACCTCCGAATCACATGATAAGCTGCATTATATGTAAATGTTACAAGACAGCATCACCAACCCCCCTCTGTTAAACGACCCACTGATAAAACCAAAGCAGTTGGTCAACTCAACTAAGGGAAAAAGCTGATACACTTTTTCACTGTTTTGCAAGGAACTGGGCTTTGTCAGATGTACTAAATGGCACATTGTTTATCTCATATAAAAAAACCTCTCTGGGGCAAAACAGTTTACATGCCTATTTGTTTATTCTATTTGCAGATTCAAAAGTCCTTGGATTGGTGCCCGGACTTATTATTGACTCCAGAAAGAAGACCTGAATACTGAAAATAATGAGGAGTTATCAAACTATTTTTTTAATGCTGCTTTTCGATCCTGTATGTTGGGATCAGAACAGATCAGCCACTCAAGACTGAGATACTTAGCTTATTTATTAATGTCATCATGCTTTTTTACGTGTCTTAACAATGCTTTACATAACATGAGGCTCAGGACTTAAAAACAAAGGTTTGTGTAAGGTAGAGTTGACCATTGTGTTATGATGAACACTATATTTTTAGATGTGAAATGTATTGCAGCACCCAAAAAAGTTTACAAAAAGCTGATCAAGACGATGAGTACATCCCTGTCTAAAGTCTATATAAAATCAAAACAAGTGCGACTTAACCTAAAACTGTTGCCTCATTTTTGTGGCCATTTCTTTAGGTTGTTGGTAAAACTCAAGTTCGAAAAGGATTAGAGCAATCCTGTTTATCTTATTGAATGCAGAATAAAGCTGATTGGTTGTCAAGTCGAACAACAGCAAATCAACATCAAGGACACATCAATCATTTGCTTGTGGGTTGAGAAAAAGTCCTGCCCTGATTAAACCATTCATTTAGACTTCTATGGTTTTACACCACATTTTCTCTAACGCAATCATAATAACAACATAGTCTAACCACTTCCCTAGCAGCCTCGGCCTACTTACAGGGTGAAACTAATGTGTACCATCACTTGCAGAATGACCTAACTAATTGCCAGTACAGATGGCAAAAAGACAACATGAGAGATGATAAATGCAGGTGACAAAAACATCTGTTTATATTCCAGTACGTTGGCACTATTGCACAAATGTTCGCAGGATACATGGAAATGGCTGAATTAAGTAAATCCACCGGATTGTATGAAATTTCGCAAGAAAAATCAACAGGACCTTTGGGATGTCCAAACAACGCAGCGGCCTACGTTCAGTATCTGCTGAACTGGTACATCTGTTTTCTCTATGAGTCACCTGATTAAATGGCAGCAGTGAAGGCACACACAGCTTTATCGGAAAGATTCCTGCCGAAGACTTACTTAAACAAAAAGATATGAGGAATTCATGCTCTTGCTGTAACAATTAGACAACCAATAGACTATCTTGATAATCAAATCATCGTTATGGTAGTATTTTATGCAAATATTCTGTTTTTCAGCCTTTAAAATATGGGGATTTTCTGCTTTTTCTATCATATATAAACAGCATGTATTTGGCTTTAGGACTGACAAAATATCAACTTAGACTTTGAGAAACTGGATTGGACATTTTTTGCTATTTTATGATATTTTACACACCCAATCAACAGATAATGAATACAAAATACACAACTGCCCCTTTTATTTAACACATGATTGCAAAGAAAGTGATTAAACAAGGGCAAAATATACAGTAAAACTTGAACCAGAAACAACTTGAATGCCTATATTGTAGTTGGGGTAAAGCTCAACACATCAGTACAGGTTTGAAATGACATGTTAAGATTTTCGTGGCAAATATGGATATTGCAATACACAAATGCACATCTCAAACAAAATGAGTGAGGGGAACACATTAGTGGTCTGCAATGTGTAGGAGGACAACTACACTTTCCCCACATTTGATAGACATTTAATGTTATTTTCTTCTCTCCTTTTATCTTTGGTTTTAACAAGAGGTTTCATATGAGTTTGATGTATTTGATCCTCATTGCAAATTAAGAGTCTCCCTCAATTAATGTATTGAATCTTATATAGAGGTTTGAATGAATGAATACATAATATACATTCATGGCTATCATTTCTGACCACTGAAATAAAGGGTGTCACTAAAACTCTCCCACCTCCATTTGGGGATCGATATTTTTACATAACATCCTGTTTACATGTTGATGATACCCATTATGAAACCTGATATTTATAGAACTCGGATCAGCTTGATGTTACTGATGTTTTCCACAGTCAAACTATCTGAGAATCTTCAGAGTTAACCTTTCAAGAATCGTCTGCTTTTGGTAAACATGGTGGTGAAAACACATCGCATGCCGAAATAAGAAGAGATGTGGAGCTGAGTGTTGAGCAGAACAAATGGTGCAGAGCCATGGCGCCTCTAGTGGCACACACTGAAACCTTCCTTCTTTATAATACTTGTTTACATCAACTCTCGCTCACGTGTCATACCTCATTGATACAGGATGTTTTTCTCAACCCTCATTGTCTTCAATCTTTCCCGAAAAAACTTGACATGTATTTAAAAAATGAAAAACTGTTCAAATCAAAGCAATTTTGCCCAAAAAGATGATAATAGATCGTCAATTCTATGCATAAAAACCAAAACACATGTTTTCTTCTTTAAACCACTAACGAAAACATAGCAAATGTATGTCGTCGACATTGCACCAACACTGCAGACATGCACTTTGATAAAATCACTAAAAACAAGACATAATTTAGCTGGCACACATTATGAAGAAAAAAACATTGTAACGTGAAAGAAAGAAAATCGGGCTACTGTTAATTGTTATACAGTGACATATTTTTCACTGTGACCAAATGTCAAAAAGGATGATAACAATGCCAAAATTAATCGAGTGACTGACTTATTATGCTATTTGTGATACTTTTGTTTCATTGTTCTAGTAGTGGATTAAGGTTACTGTCGGTCATTCAGCTTCGCGATACTGACCCAAATTAACGTCAATTTAGCCACAATTAGAGAGGAAGTGCGTTGAATGTGCTTTCAGAGTAAAGCTGCAACAAATGTAACTTGAATATACTTCGCACTAAACGGTAATATACACTTATGTAACGTTACAATTAAAGGTGCAGTCAATAAAAAATCTGAAAAGGTCCCTTTAGTTTCTCTTATAGATTCAGCTTTTGTAATAAATAAATTCGTTTCCACAAGGAGGCTTTTATTTCTTTAATGCCTTACCGGAAGTACTGATTTTATCAATAGCTATCTTGACATTGGTCCTACTCAGAGGAGGATACTGAGACAAAAACATGATCAGAGAGCGAGAAACAGCAAAGAAAATGCTTGTCATTTCACTCAAACGGCGGTATTGCCATGTACATTTGAAGTCCATTCATCTCATAGCAGGTATTGACTATCTTTGCGACGTTGAAACGAAGAAAATAAAAAAACAACATCATTTGGCATTCAAAAGCCAATCCAATCTTTGTTTTGTTATCGTCGCTTGATTATACAAAGCCAAAAGTAGTAGCTGACAACATATGAAGGAATAATAGTTTAAGGAGAAAATAAATGTTAACTGGTACACCGTGGCATGAACATATCTCTTTGTTGGTCCAACAAAGAAACTCATAAAGCCCCCCCCAAAAAAACTTACAGCCCCCCAACAAAAAAACAACAATTAAACAGAACTCACCGTCCTTAATCCCGAGCGACGTGAATATCCACTCTTTCTCCTTTCATATATTGCAATCCTTCTTAGAGAACAACTTATAAATGGTGAATCAGCTGCTCTCTGTGATGGTCCTCCGTGTCTCAGTGTCTGGAGAAGCTGTTCTCCTCTCCTCCGGCAGGGTTTTATATCGCTGCTTGATGCAGAGCAGAGGTAACTAACGGTCACCGTTTGATGCGGCTCCCTTATAAGGCAAGCACGTGCGGAGTCAAAACATCTCTTAAAGGACCAGCGACACCTCAACACTTAATCAATGCTCAGTGGGGACTTTTCAATTAGTGCCAAGCTCAAGAAGGTTGTATGAACATATTCAATTACTGCTAATGCTACTCCTAGGATTGACTAGAACTGCCACAAATAATATGAAAATACTCATTATAACCGTTATTAATGTATCACTTCATTAATGCATGATTTGCACTATAAGATATACGAATTTAAGAAATAATGTGAACACTGAGCAGAACAGGTTAGAATTAGAGACTGGTTATTAAAGTACTCCCCTATTAAATATCAATAGTTATACATTTTGGGATAAAAGGATCAAGACAAAGATTGCCATACTTTATCAAAGTTCCAAGACTTTGCAGTGAGTACAATTTCGATAAAAATGTATGTTTGCTAAATAATTTGTAATATAAAAATGAAGACAGTGTTCTTTTGTTCAATAATTCATTTTTTAAATAAAACATACGTACTTGACAAAAGGCAGTTTATTTGTAATAGTTAAGATGCATATATGATATACATTTTCAGATTTTGTTTAAACATAATGCAGATGATGAAAGTAATGAAAATAGGTTGTTCAGAGAAGAGAAAGGTCTTTGAATTCAAATTAATATTGATTAAGGTAAAGCCCGACAATGGGGTAGATAACAAGTTCTCAGTGTCTTGTGAAAAATGACTTCATTCTAAGGAAGACATAACAATCTCAGGAAAGCACAAGGCAAGTCATGAGTAGTGTGTGTCATGAGTAGTGTGTATGTATAACTAAATACAGCATGGTATATTATCACCATCATATTTCTTAGTAGAGGAGCAGAAGAGTTGCATCTTTGAGCGGAATTTAACACTCTCAAAAAAGTATTTGGGATAAGGCAAATCTTGTTAAGTTAAGTGGGATATATGGGGGCCTAAGCAGTATTACAATTTAAGATATGAGGATGCAATTAGCGTTGAGAGTTAAAACATAGGAATTATTATTCAATGAACACACTCCACTCTAGATACCAGTTGATTTCAGGGTCTTGTTGCAGACTGGTATGTTATTTCTAAATCATTATACTTCATCATTCTTTTATTTTTGTTACAAAATATTATGATTTTTTATTGGAAAGGAGTTTTAAAGAAATATTAATTAACAAAAAACATATGGAACGTTGAGTATAACATGACGCAAAATCTATTTCACGATGTCATCACAGGATAGAATTTAAAATTCTTCTTCTCGCCTACAAAGCCCTTAATGGGCAGGCGCCATCTTACCTTAAAGAACTCATTATACCCTACTGTCCTACTAGGGCATTGCGTTCCAAGAATGCAGGGTTGTTGGTTGTTCCTAGAGTCTCTAAAAGTACAATGGGAGCCAGAGCCTTTTCTTATCAAGCTCCACTTTTGTGGAATCAGCTTCCAGTTTGTGTTCGGACGGCAGACACCCTATCCGTTTTTAAGAGTGCGCTTAAGACCTTCCTTTTTGATAAAGCTTATAGTTAGGGCTGATTAGATTCAGCCCCTAGTTTTGCTGATATAGGCTTAGTTTGTCGGGGGACATCTTACTTCTTCCTTCTCTCTGTCTATACCTGTGTACTCTCATGTTCCGATTAACCCAGCTTCCCCAAATGTCTTTCTTTTTGGTGTCTATATACGCCGGGATCCGGAGTCATGGATGATCCTGCGGTCCTGTGTCATGGATCGCGAGTCCTGGATCTTGAGTCGTGGCTGTGGTCCTGATCATAAGTCCTGGATGGATATCCTCGTGGATTCATCTTCCTATTATGCACACATGCATTTCCAAACATTTGGACTACCTATGTTGCAAATGTATTATCTTTTCAATTTACACACGGCATCTATTGCACGTCTGTCCGTCCTGGGAGAGGGATCCCTCCTCTGTTGCTCTCCCTGAGGTTTCTCCCATTTTTCCCTTTAAACTGTGGGTTTTCTTTGGAAGTTTTTCCTTGTACGATGTGAGGGTCTAAGGACAGAGGGTGTCGTATTGTCATACTGATATTCTGTACAAACTGTGAAGTCCACTGAGACAAATGTAACATTTGTGATATTGGGCTATATAAATAAACATTGATTGATTGATTGATTGATTGATTTTTTTATTATTATTCCCACTTAAGCATATACAAGATAACACTGAGCAATGCAGTTCAATAAATATACTTGTTATACTTTGAGATATTTTTTGAGGTACTTATTCAGCTTTGCTGGTTACTGGAGTTATTTATGCTACAGAACAAAGTGTGAAATATACACATGTACCACAGAGCATACTTGATGTTTAAATTAAAAACACTATAAATAAAGCAGGGAATCTGAAATACGATAAAAAAACTTTTCATACTGTAAACTGTAACTTTTTGTTTTATCTTTGAGTCTCCATGCAAACCTCTCTGAAGGTTTCCCTCACTGACATCCTTCTCCTCTTTCTTCTTCTTAAATTGAATTTCCTTAGGTGAGTCTGTCTGTATGCTGGTCCCGTGACAAATGGGCAAACCTGATGTACCCCGCTGCCTCTCGCCCTGTTCTGCTGCTGCCTCAGCCCTCTGTGACCCTGACAGGATAAGCTGTTTAGGAAATGGATGGATGGATGTTAACTGGCCATTGATTCATCTGCAGTTGCTGTAACAACATCAAACCTGGACTCAGCAGCAGAGCACAACATACCTGCAGTGTATCATATTATTTTACACTTGTTACAATATAACCCAATTTAAGATTCTGATTGCTGTTTCTGCTGCCACATTTGGAGATAACATCTTCCAATTCACTCTTTACACATTTTCTAGCTAGTTTATGTGTGTTTCCAATATCTCTAGAATGATTAATGCAAAGCTATTGATTTTCAATGGTTTTCTGTCTGAGTCAGAAAAAAGATGTCCCTGTAATCAAGAAGATATTGATCTGATGTTGTCAGTGTGTATTACTGTACCATAAAAGGGTCTTCTTCCTGGTCAAAAGGCAGTGTGAGAATACAACTGAAACGGAGTTAGAAAATGCACTGGCATTCTTCCACCATAGTTCAGTGTTTGTTGGTCTGTTTATCCACAGTTTAATGGAAGAAAAACTTCAGACAATATTCTTTTGATATTTGGTGGAGGGGTGAAGCATGCTACGAGGAAGAACCATTGAATGTTGTCCAAATCAAGGGGTGGACCCACATTCTTTTTTACTCAAGGAAACTTTCTTGGCTACATGTCGAACCTTGTTTGTGATGCTGCTGTGACTCCTGGAAGTCCTGCTGGATAAACTGCTGATACAATAATCCTACTGGGATACTTCATTTCAAAGCAACTCATTTGAAATATAAAGCCTTTCATATTTAAGTACAATTCTGAGATTTGGGACTGGTTGTCACTCCTGGCTTTGTGGTTTTCAATTTGACAATTGCTTTCACTTTGATCAAGGAATTTACCTGAGGCCAGAAAAGACTTGTTCATTTCTCTATTCTCCATATACTTTATGTCTTGCAAGACATGCATGAACATGAAGACATGCTAAATGTAGCCTTTTTACGTTTTTTTTTATTTTATTTGTTCTTTTATCCAGATTTGCAGTATATTTTTCTGGGTCAAGTTAAAATGGACTCCAGTCTCTACTGTCTTGTTGCCTGCTCAGTGAGCAGTCTGATAAACCTTTCCACCCCACTGATTTTGGCTATACAATGGCAGACTGTGTTGAACATGGCCACTGGATAACTGCAGGCTGCACCCCTCTATGGCCAAAAAACATTCTGTTCAGCCGCAACTGTAAACACCTCACATGTCATCACACAATGTCTTGCTGGTTTGTGTTTGCCCTGACTGTGTGGCTGCCTGTCACACAAACCAGAATAAACACATCTGAAAATTGCTCTGAGTGAGGACCTTGTTAGCAAAACTATCACCTCAATAATTATTAAGTGGGGTCAGGAATGAGGGAACAAATGCATAACTTGTATTATCTTACACTTTAACACTTTAGAAGGATTCTATTCTATTCTAACAACATTTTCTGCATGCTTAATTGTAATTCAAAATAACTAACAGTAGGATGTCCCACCTTTGTTAAAAAGACATTACAGTAGTGATCCGACATTTTGTAAGAAGAAACAGCCTTACAAAAATAAAAGTCATCAACAGCTGCTTCTTAGCTTTGCAGGATGAGCTTGCTGACTGGTAATTTATGCTGGAAATGTTGAACAGAGACATGGAAAAATGTTGCATGCAATTTTGTGTGAAACTTTGTTTTGTAATTTAGCTAAAAAGTAATAGAATACATAGTGGTAAGGTTGGTGGTACCTTACTTGCAAGGACAATGCTGACTGTAGGACAAAACAGATTTGCCCAAAATATGAAAAATGACTTTGCAGCAACAAAGAGAGGTTATGGTGGTTGACTAATTTATCCTTAGATTATGAATAATGACATCTTCTCCAGGTGACAACAAATAGAATCAGGTTTGAAATAGAATACATGTTAATTAGAGTCAATGATTAGGGAGAGGACTTTAGGATGGAGCCACACAGAGATGAAACGGGTCGTATCCGCTACAGTTCTCTATCTTATAGACGGTTCGTCCACACGAGGCCGACAGGGAAACGCGGATAACGATAACGGGTCCCAAGGTTATGGGCTCAGAACAGTCTCATAATACAGACATGCACACAGAAGGATTCACACTTGTATTTCATGATCCGCAAAAGGATTCACAGTTGTATTCTGACGGAGACACGCAGCTCTGCATGATCACCTGAAGCTC